TTTTTCTTTTCGACCTCCATCCATTTGACAAAGCCCTCACTAAAATTTGAGCATCTTCTCTTTTCAGGCATTCCGGCAGCATATGTTCCCTCTATCTACAACAACGATGTATTCATCTATTCTTACTTTTTCGTTGAACTAACTAATTTAGTTCAACTGTATATTAAACAATCACATCAACATGTAACCATATCATTATCAAAAATTAACATAGAATGTTGATTCAATGCAAATAATTAATTAATGCAACCAAAAAGTTAGGAATGGACTACAAGTCAAGCTAATATGTTAAAAAAATAAAATTACATATGAAATTTTTTTTACACCAAAAAAAATGAAGTGAGTTGGTGACCAGACAGATCAATAGCCCGGCTAAGTCCCCCTACATCTATCTTTGCACGATGCTATATTGTATCGTCAAACGAAATTTTAAATATGCAACAATGACAGGAAAAAACTCTATAGCCAAAAATATAGTTATAAAAGAGTTTTAAAAGTTAAAAAGTCATTTGTAAGGTTGTATACATGACATTGTGTTTGGTTATGCAACAAAAAGAAAGAGTTACCAAATTTATGCTAGTTTGTCGCCAAATTGATGCTCGAGCATCGAAAACAAAACAAAGGTCTCTCTCGTGTTGCTAGCCTGGTGCTCGAGCGATGGTGTTTCCCATGAAACCCTAGTTCGCGAATTTCAAGAGTTTTATCTATCCTATATTACCCTAAAACCTAGATACTATATATACTCAAGCCCACTTCGTGAATCCACATAATCAAAACACCAAAACCAATACTTTCGCATAATTGTAAATCTGAAGATCGGAGAAGGTGACCGGAGTTCCAGCTGAAGGAGAACGTGAAGTTCTCATGTGATCCACAAGAGATAATACAGAAGGTCGGGGAGCTAGTCTAAAATCACGCAGTCCAGAAAGGTGTTGGTGATTACAGTCAGGAGGTCGGAAAGTACTAAAGTTTAGTCAAGTTTGTAACTCTTTATCGCTTATAGTGGATACTACTGGTTTGTGCCACAAGTTTTTATCCCGCAAGGGGTTTTCTCCATCAACAATTTCGTGGTGTTATTTATTTATATATAGTATATCAACTGAGGTAATTCAATTTCGGATAGTATTACATGTGAATTCATCTATATAAAGTTAATAATTGTAGTTTGTTGTTTTCATTAATTAACAAATTTAAATTTTGAATACAAACACTTATCCATCTCCTCTAGGTGTTAGTTGGGTCGAAGTTGTAGCTTTTAAGTGGTATTAGAGCCTCAATTCGATTCTTGACCCTAACT